ACTCACAGAGATCCGCCTGCCTCTGCCTCCCGAGTGCTGGGATTAAAGGCGTGCGCCACCGCCACCACCACCGCCTGGCTAGTTAGTGTTTTTATTACATTTACTTTATGTTTTTATTGTTTGGCAGTTTCGTAGTTTTATATAATCAGTGTCAGTAATTTTATACACTCCATGTCTCTCGTGTGCACCAGTTCCCTTCTCAGCAAGTCCCCCTTCACTTTGGTGTCTTCTTCTGTGTGTGGCCCCCTGACTTTAGAGTTTCTCACCCAAGTGTAATGGGAGGTTATTAACTGGAGCAGGGACAACTTGACAAATGACTACACCATTGAAGAAAATGATATGTAAGTCCTCCAACAACTTTTAATTGTCAGTAGTCCCTTGGAGAAGGGTGGGACCTCGTGGGACAGTCCTCCATCCTGGATGAGATGTTGAGGGACCCAGTCTTGTGCAGATGACCACAGTTGCAGAGAGTTTATGGGTGCCACGGCTCTGTTGTTTCTAGAAGATAAAAGAAAACAATTAGAATTATTTCCATGCACACTTAATGGACATCGAGCCCTGAGAGTCAGAATTCAGCTGTGTTTATCCTTTTGTCTCATACCCCGTATACATCTATTCCATACAGTGGTCACTTGCCACATATGGCTTTTAAAACATAAATTAAAAATACTCAGTACAATTCAAACTTCAGTTCCTCACTCACACTGGTCACATGCTCACATGTCAGTAGCCACATGTTGCTATGATCTACAGGAACACCACTGAAGTTTTCCTGGACAGCCCTGCACTGCCTCACCTGCTGATGCCTGCTCCTTCTTCCCACATTACCAGATCCTTGGAAACCCAGAGGAGACATGTGTTTACTTGCAAAAAGTAATCATTCTTTTTTCATTCTGCTGAGCAAAAGAAAAGATGAATTTGACTCAGTTTTCTCTCTGGCTGTGTGTGAAGCAGAACTAGAGGATGTTGCTTCCCAGGATCCAGAAGAAATCACAGGACCACGGTTCCCTGTTCTCGGAGCTTGGCCCCTGGCTTCTGTGCAATGCTCTCGGGGCTCTGTGTGAATGGCAGTGATGACACATTTAATGAAAGGTAAATATATACGATCAGTCTCCAGCAGATGTGGCCTGTGGGGGAGAGTCATCACAGGAATGAGAGCCCACAGTTACACTCTAGGCACACCTGTGAGGGTGCCCTGCAGAAGGTTAACCTTGCTGTTCAGAAACAGCGGAGACGGTGATCAGGGTACCAAAATTCTATCGGTGCCCCTCCAATTCCATTAAGATGTCAGTGTGCTTGAAACTGGAGCAGTTTTTTGAGTTGTCATTAAAAACTACCAGAGAACATGCACAGCCATCTGAGTGATATCCCAGGGCACTGCTGGCATCTAGTGTAGAGACAGGGAAATGACTGTCAAGCAAATACTGAGGGGCTCACCAAGTGAGCATCCCAACCAGATTCAAGTAACATTGCTGTGTGCACACTGGATGCCTCTTCTCTAACAAGAGCAGCTGCCAGCAGATGAAGATTCATAAAAATGAAAAGAAGTTTCTCCAGTGAATCCAGACAACACTTAGAACACTGGCTGTCAATACTACCAAATACAGTTCTCCCCTATGTAAGACATAAGTTATTACCATCCTCAAATTTAATCTATAGGCATTTAAAACCTGCCTGTGTACATTACTATAAAATCAAATAACTAACAAAAAGAGGATATTTGAAATTACAAAATGACAGTGTATTTTAATGTGCATTTATTTATACATTCAGCACATAATTGGGCCACCAGCTTTTTACTTACAAAGAATGAGTAAGTTTGAACTTAAGGATTATTAGTAAGAAGTAACAGTATATAGAGGGGCAGAAACAAGGAACCACAGATAAGAAAAGACATGGGAGATTTGTCTCTCTGGGTCTGAGTTACCTCAATCAATATGATCTTTCCTACTTCCACCCATTACCTGCAGATTTCATGATTTCTCTTCTCTTTATAGTCTAATAGTATACTATAGTGTATATATACCACATTTTTATTATGTATTCACCATTTGAAGGACATTTGGCGTGTTTTCATTTCCTAGCTATTGTGGGAAGAACCCCCACTCCCTTAATTGGTTAATCAATACTAAGTAGCCAGCCTTGTAACATTATACAGACTGACCAAGTTACGTTTATATATTTAGGATATAAATGTGCATATATGTAACAACAATTAAAGAAAAAGAGGCAATGAATCTGAGAGAGAAGGAGGCAGTCTTCTGGGAGGGTTTGAGAGAGAAAATGGAAGGGGAGAAATTATGTAAATATAACTTCTTTTTTAAAAGCTAATCTTTTTTTATTTTATTGAAAATAGATTTTTTTCATACAATGTATTCTAATTTCAGCTTCCCTTCCCTCCCCCAGTTCCTCCCCACCTCCCCCTCTACAAATCTACCCCTTTCTGTCTCTCCTTAGAAAATGAACAGCTATCTAGGGGATAATAATAAAATTAAATTAAATACAATAAGACAGAACAAAAATAAACCAAGTGGAATAGGACAAAACTAACAGAAAGAAAAGAGACCCCCCCCCCAAAAAAAAGGGCACATGAAACATACAGAGGCAGAGTCCCACTCATTTGTACGTTCAGGAATTCCATAAAAACACAAAACCAAAAGTCATAATATGTGGGATGACTCAGCCCTAACAGGCCTGAGAGACAGCCAGCCCAAACCAGTAATGAGAGCATGTGCTAAGATACTTTCTGAGAGTCAACCTGGGTCTGCCTAAGGGCCTTAGCAACAGCAGCTGAGACATGATCTGAGATGACCTGGACCAATGAGAGGCAGCCATGTCACAGCAGCCGATGAATATTTATCACACCTTCCCCCAAGATATATAAGGCTTGCCTCTTCCTGAATAAACTGAGATTGTTTCAACATCCTCCCAGTGTCTGTGTCATTGACTCTGTGCCTGTTCAACCCCCTCCACACTCCCTGCCAAGGGAAAAGCACAGGACCCTGCTACAATAATATATATGCAAAATTTTTAGGGCAATAAATAAATAAGTAAATAAAATGTAAAATTAAACATAAAAGCCCTGATTTGACATCATGAGGCAAGGAACCTCCAAAGATGCCATTGAGTTAGTTTTGTGTTGGCCATCTACAGCTGAACATAAGATTTGTTTCCCTTGGAGAAAACTAATTTTTCATTTGAAAATGATTATCAATTGGAGATTTCTTCTGAGTTATGGATTGGGGATATGTGGGAAACCAGCTCTGACTTGTCAAAGGGTTTTTTGAGGGAGGAGAGAAGAATGAGTAAATATTAGATATGGATGGAAAGAAAGACAGAGACACAGGATAGCTTCAGGAGGTCCCTGGGTCAATACCCAGTCACCTCAAGTTTTTTTTAAATGGGCTTTTTATACACTACTAAGGGGATAGGCAAAAGACCTCCCCCTTTCAAGATCAAAGCACAATGTACACCCCAGTGTAGACCCTTTAAGACACCTGATAACCACACCCTTGGTCAAATCATCCTATTATGCAGACTTGCTGGGCAAAGCAAGCTCCGACTTTCTGACCTTGAGTAAGGCCTTACTAGGGAGCCTCTATGGGCCCCCACAGAATGTGTGTCCACTTCTTATTTCAGCTCTGTCTAGGCCCCCATATGACATAGACCTGTGCAGGCTGTGTGCACGCTGCCTCGGTCTCTGTGAGTTCAGATGTGCATCATCTCTGCTTTGTTTAGAAGGCCTTGTTTTCTTGGTGTCTTCCAGCCCATCTAGCTCTTACACTCTTTCTACTTCCTCTTCCATGGGGTTCCCTAGGCCCTGGGTTGGGGTGGTGGTGGTGGTACTGAATGAGCCATCCCATTTAGGGCTAAGTGTTCCAATGTCTTTAATTCTGTAAATTGTCTGTCTGAGTTTCTTCTCATTTGCTGCAGGAGAAAGCTTCCCTAATGATGGTTGAGTGAGGCACTGATCTAGAAGGATAGCAGAACATCTTTAGAAATCATTTTATTGCTACCTTTTTTTCCACATTCAGAGCAGTAGTGTTTGATTTTACCTTAGGTCTCTGGACTACCTACTCCCAGGGTCTTGGTCACCATATTCCCTCCCTCATCCTTCTCATCCCTCTCTGTCTCCATTTGATCTGACTCATCCCCCTCGTCCATCCATTGTAGACGAATTTCTAAATGGCCTTATTAAATAAAAAACATGGAGCCAGAAATTTGGGTTAATGCCTTAGAGAGATCAGAGAAAGCCACCAGCCAACCTTACCTCACCAATTCCCCAGCTTCCAAATACGCCAACTTCCTGTTTACCCGGGCTTTATATGCCTTGCTTTTCTGCCCTCTCATTGGCTCTCTTAACCCAGCTACCCCACTTCCTCTTCCTATGAAGCTCTGTCACTTTCTGTCTGTCTATACAGACTTCCAGGTCTCTATGGTTGTTACTGGGATTAAAGGTATGTGTCACCATGCTTGGCTCTGTTCCTTGGTGTGGCCTTGAACACGCAGAGATCCAACATGCTAAGGGATTAAGGGTGTGTGCTATCTGACTTCTTTTTACTTAAAATGGCTGGCCTTTCCCTGCTGATCTCCAGGCAAACTTTATTTATGAAAGCACAAATAAAATATCACCACATTTCAATACAAATAAAATATCACCATATTTCAGCACAAATAAAATATCACCACAATCCTTAATTCTATTTCCCTTTCCTAGGGATACCTGTTTGTCACTCCCTCAGTGCTGTCATTTATTTTATTAATCCAAGCCATTTTGACTGATAAAAGATGAAGTCTCGAAGTTTTGACTAGCATTTCCCCGATGACTAAGTTTATTAAGCATTTAAGTGCTTCTCAGCCATTTGGGTTTCTTCTTTTCAAAATTCTTTGTTTGGGTCTGTACTCCATTTTTTTTTAAACTGGGTAATTTGTTTTCTTAATATCCATTTTAATTCCAGTTCTTTATTAATTTTGGATATTAGTCCTCTATCAAATGTGTAATTGGTAAAAAAAAAAAATCTTTCCCACTCTGTAGGATGATACTGTGTACTGTTGATGGTCTCCTTTGCTATACAGAAGCTTTGCAGTTTCATGAGGTTCCATTTATTGACTGTTAATCTTAGTGCTTGTGCTATTGGAGTTCTGTTCAAAGGTTTTTTTTTTTCCTGTGCTCATGAGTTCAAGGCTGTTTCCCACTTTCTCTTCTATCAGGTTCAGTGT